CCAGCGGTCCTCCTTCGGATCTGTATGATGTCTGAAGTGGACTCGGAACTGCAGCTTTGGCTTTGGAGGACGTCCCCTTCCTGGAGGCTTCTGAACAGGCATCTCCCTGTGGTCAACGATATCATCGATGTCGACTTCTCCGTCCATGGTTGGGGGCAGCATGGATCGACGAGAGGGAAACTGATCAGTTTCCTCGAATGCAGCGAGCTTAGAGGCGTGAAAGACTGGGTAAGTTCTGAGATGACCAGGGATACGGATGACATATGATGGACCATCAGGATTTGTCCCTACTACGTCTAAAACTTCCCAAGGTCAAAAGTACTGAGGCATGAGTTTGCGGGATATCCCGAACTCCTGTCCCAGTTCTGAAGATTTGACCCAGACTCTGTCCCCAACCTGAAATGTAGAAGGGCGGCGGTGTCTATTCTCAGACTCTATCATTGCTGCCTGTGCCTTCTGCAYGTGTTCTACAGCCTCCTGCATCTTCTGTTCATATCTATAGGCGAACTCCAAAGTGCCCGGTGTAGCAGTTGACTGGTTGTCTGGAAGTAGGAAGTCTAAGGGCAGTCTAGGCTTGAATGTCAGTTGTAGACTGTTAGGACTCGTCCCGGTAGCACTGTGCACAGCGTTGTTATATAGACTAGCGACTAGAGCAAGCTTTTCGTCCCAGTCTACCTGATTGGGCTTGATGTAGTGCCTCAACAGGTGTTGCACAGCGCGGTTCAATTGTTCAGCCTGGCCATTAGCTTCTGGATGATTTCCAGAAGTCATCTGCAGTTGAGTTCCTTGTTCAGCTGCAGCGGCCTTCCATAATTCACTCGTGAACCTGACGTCCCTGTCACTGACTATAGACTTCGRCAGTCCAAAGTCTCTAACCCAGTTTTCTTTAAATAGCCTGATCACGTATTCGGTCTTTGCTGTTTCTGGCATAGGTATTAATCTAGCAAACTTACTAAACCTATCCACGATGACAAAGATMTGTCTCATCCCACTCTTGCTGGTGACCAGCGTATCCATGAAGTCCATGGATAAACTTTCACCTGGCCTTTCTGGAATCGGAAGGGGCTTGAGCAGCCCAAGAGGAGCCTGAGTACGGGGCTTGTCTCTTTGGCATACTTGACAAGTTTCCACGTACAGCTGTGCATCTTTCATCATCGTGGGCCACCAGAACCGCTGCAGCAAGTTGGCTGTGGTCTTGGCCGGTGGCATCATGACACTCGCCTAAAAACAAACTACGCAAGGACTCGCAATTTGGAACGCACAAGCGTTTATTCCCTGCCTTCTCTAGGAACAGCAATCCATTGACCAACTCAAACTTGGCGGAGGTCTTCTTATCCTTCGCCTCAAGTCTGCGTATGATCTCAGACATAAACTGGTCCTGTCGATAGGCTTCCACCAAAGACTGAGTAACATCGTCCATCAGATCGAACTCAGTAATCAACGCACCTGAGAACTCCAGTCTGCGCGACAAGGCATCAGCAACCTTGTTGTACTCCCCTTTGAGATACTGAGGGTCTAAGTCATATTGCTCAATGACTTCAATACGCTTGAGAGCTTCAGAGAGTACCGACTGTGTTCTCATCCATCTCAGGGTCTGATGATCAGTCCGGAGGATGAAGAACCGCCCAAGGAGGTAGTGTCTCCAATGGGTGTACACCGCATAGAGTTCCTTCTCATAAGTAGACTTAGCCAACCTCCGAGACGGCATTTTCTTGGACATGTACTCTACTGCCCTCAACTTTCGCCCTTCCTGCTGCGCAAGCACGGCGCCAATGCCATATTGGCTAGCATCCGTGGTTACTAAATATGGCTTATCAGGATCGGGTAGCTTCAAGACTTCATAGTGCGTCAATGCATGCTTCAGATGTCTGAAAGCAGCCTCGCACTCATCTGTCCACTCCCACGGGGTGTCAAGGCGGGTCAGATCAGTCAAAGGAGCGGCCACAATGCTATAGTTCTTTACAAAAGTCCGGTAGTAGCCTGTCATTCCTAAGAAAGATCTCATCACAGTCACAGACTGAGGACGTGGCCAATCACGAATGCTGGCCACCTTCGCGTCATCGGGCTTCAACCCTTCCGCGGAGATCTCATGACCCAAGTACAAGATACGGGTGCGGCCAAACTCGCACTTTTCACCGTTGATCTTGAACTTGTGCTGTCGCAGGAGACTGAGAACTTTGTCTAAGTGTGCTACGTGCTCCTCGACAGTCTTACTTAAAATAAGTATATCATCGAGGTACACGACGACAAACTTATCCAAGTAGTCATGGAATATCCAATTCATTGCGTGCTGAAAGATGCTAGGAGCATTGCAAAGGCCAAAAGGCATCACCACAAACTCGTACAGACCGTACCTGGTCTGAAATGCGGTTTTGTGTTGATCCTCGGGCCAGATTGCGATCTGATGGTACCCGGACTTCAGATCTATTTTATTGAAGTACCGACACCCTTGCACTCTATCTAATAGATCATCGATGCGCGGTAGGGGCTCTCTGTTCTTCACAGTGATGGCATTGAGGCCCCTATAGTCAATGCACATCCTTAGAGTTCCTTCCTTCTTAGGCACGAATAAAACTGGACACCCATAAGGAGAGACACTTGGTCGGATCCAGCCCTTCTCTACGAGTTCCTTGAGTTGGCGGCGAAGCTCATCAAGCTCGCCTGGAGACATCCGATAGATCCTACCCCTTGGAATACTAGACCCTGGGATAATCTCTATCGCATGGACGACCTCCCTCTCAACAACCCCTGTCAGCTCTTCAAATAGATCAGGGTACTTAGCAACTACTCCCTTTATCTCTGGCGGCATTTTCACCGGCTCGCCTGGAGCAGAGACATAGACTAAGTACATACCCTCCTCCTGATTTTGCTTATAATAATTATAGAATGCGGCCGCACACATGCACCCATAGGACTCAATCAGACTACTAGCTTTGAACTTATGTAATCTGGCGGTCCCTCCACCTGGCAACGTGTGTTTGACCACTTTTCGGTCCCAGTCAAATTGGGGCTGTGCTACAGAGAGGTAGTACATACCTAGTAACATGTCCATTGGGAGCTCGTCACTCACCAGGAACGAGACACGATGTCTCAAGTCCCC